TCCCAGCTGCACTCCGCCCAGCGCCGCACCTCTTCTTCCGTCTTCCCGGAGCCCCAGCTCCCGACTGTCCAGGGGGCCCACCAGCCGCATCAGGGGACAGCCCAGCAGCCGCAGCCGAACGCCTCCCACGCTGAGCTCCCTCCCTGACAGACCCCCTGCCAGCGGAGGAGCCGGGACCAGGCCCTCCCTCCTCTGCGCCGTGCAGGCGGGGGGGAGGGGCCACTCAGAGAAACCCCGCCCGCCGAGCTCCCCCTGTGCACTCCTTGCCGTGCGGGCGGGGGGGAGGGGCCACTCAGAGAAACCCCGCCCGCCGATCTTCCTCTGTTTCCTCCTTGCCGTGCGGGCGGGGGGGAGGGGCCACTCAGAGAAACCCCACCCGCCGAGCTCCCGCTGTGTTTCTCCTCGCCGTGCGGGGGGAGGGGCCACGCAGAGAAACCCCGCCCGCCGAGCTCCGCCATCTCCGGGGATTCCTCCCGGCACCTCCGCTAGCAGAGGCAAGTAAGCGCCCTGCCAGCGGGGCCGGAGGGTCCCGAGGGGGGGGCTCCCATTGCGGCGCCGAGCTCCAACAGGGGGCGGGGCCGGACTGAAGCGCTCCGGAGGCCTAGACCTCCGAGCACGTGGGCGCACCCGCCCCCCTGCAGCTGGTGACAAGCCCGGGTCTCCCAACAGCTCAGAGACCCGGCCCTGCAACCAGCCCGTCCCTCTTTCCTCCGCAGCCACCCGCAGCTGCCCCAAAAGGATGGTGCTACTGCAACCAGGTATGCTGGCTGTGGATGGGAGAGGGAAGGAGCCTAGACTGGAGCAGGGGTCAGCAAGGTAAGTGTCATTGGTGTCAGTGGGAGAAATAGTGCCCCATCATTGGTGTCACTGATGTGATTAAACGGGGAGGGGGGCTGGGGCGCCAATTTTATAGTTCATCCCCGAGTGTAAAATATCCTAGCTCTGCCTCTGCTCACTTCTAGTCCAGGGTTGTGGTGTGATTAATGTACAGAACCTACAAAGATAATAACATGACTTGTACATCCTTAACTCAGAATTAGTATTGTGGGGCAGCTGGTGGAAATGATTAAGGTAAGATCTAAGGATAATGAGGATGACAAGGGGCAGTTTTCCAGACACTTTCCTGCATTCATCTGGTTGGTGAGAGATTTCACCTTGAAGCTGGAGTCGAATGGAAGGAAGATCACAGAGGATGAGTACCTGGAGAACGCTCTGCAACCTCAGGAATGTGAGTAATAATATAGTGTTGTGCACCCATTAAAAAGCCGCTGGTGAACTTAGTCATAGTTCCCCAGTTGGAGCACACACAGCTAGGCACACACATTTTCTTCACTCTTCCACTGGCTCAAAGGAATAGTCTAGGGGTGTCTTTTTGGGTTTTATTGGAACATAAAACTTGGATAAGGTGTGGGAGCATGGGAAAACACAGAACTGAGGAATTGAACACTCTGAGGACTCCTTAACTATCTTGCAACTATCACTGTACAAATGTGTTCCACAGAATCTCTAATGCTGATGGCGACTATGAATTCTCCCAGAGACCAAAAGCCACACACATTTACAGACTCTCCAGCACATGGACCATCTACTCACCCAGCTCAGGATCATCGGTTGCCTCCTTCCGATATCCACCAGGCTCTTGACAGTGAGGGAGATGCAGGCTCACACCATCATAGGACAGTTGGACATGTTAGTCAAACTTGTGACTCTCTCCCATGAGCGCTCTCTTTATTCGAACTGATTCCGAAACTAAGCTTGCAAAGAGCGCTACCAGCTAAGCCTAGCTGGGACATTGATATCTTTATAAAGGCTTCTCTAGTATTCCTGCCATGGGGCAGAGCACCTGAACAGGTGTGTGGTCCAGCAGGACTGAACTCAGAAACACTGTACTTCTGCCTCAGGCCTCGGGCTATTTATGGACACTACCATCACCTACTGTGCAAACCGCCCCAGGGATTGGCTGGAGTACCATAAATATTCAGGCTGCTTACTCCCACAATAATTCTACAATCCTCTAGAATACAAGGGAAATGAATCAGAGCAGCAGCCTGTGAGCCACTGAGCAGATCTGAATATTCAACCCCTGCTCCTCTGATTACAGAGGAGCTAGCTAAATGTACAGTCCAGGGGCGGACCGACCATTTGGAAACTCGGGTGCTGCCCGGGGGCCCGGGTCAATACAGGGCCCCTTGAGATGCCCCTGGTACCTTTTTCATAGGCTTTTTTGAGTTTGGGCAAGGACACAGGGGCCCCATCATCCCCTATTGCCCGGGGGGCCCCATGAGTTGTCAGTCTGCCCCTGGTACAGCCTACACTAGTCTAGGAGGGTGGTACATCAGCAAATGTTGCAGGTTGGCTATCAATAGGTTTGTAAACTGGGTAAATACTAAAATACTGTGGAGTCAATTCACTAAGAGTATAATACCGCATAAGCCTTTGCATTACAATAATTAATGTGGTGTCTATCTCGAAAGCAGGAAATTCGCTAAAAACTCATGCATGGATTACTGAAGGTGTTCATTTCTTTTGTGGAATTAAACACTTTTTTTACACCTTAATTTACCATAGAGCAGATCTCTGGCTGCAATGGGAACTGAAACATTAAGGCCTCATGCACACTGGACATTATAAAAACACCAGGAATATTAGCTATAAAATACTGCAAAAAAAAACGTGAACTTGTTTGCATTTTGTAGCATCTTTGCATTAGCTTTTTCCAGTGTTTTTTCATTGTTTTTCAGCTTTTGCATTTTTTAGCAAAGTTATACTCCCACAAAATCTTCAGGCTCAAAAACTCCTCTTGAAACCCATTAGTTTTGGGGGTTTTTTTTCCAGGCAAAAAATGTTGATTCCAGCCTATGTGTACATGGACACATAGGATAACATGCTCGAAAAAAATGTCAAAAGCCAAAAACAGCCGCTGTAAAAACCTCCCGTGTGCGTGAGGACTTAGTAGTGGTATTGCTGCTCAGGAGAGCTGATTGTCAGGGAGCTGGCAGTCGCCAGCATCCTAACTCCTCATGCACATGGGGCGTTTTTACAGATACTGTTTTGGCATTTTTTTCTACAGCTAGTGAACCACCCCCCCAGCATGTTATCCTATGTGTCCATGCACACATAGACTGGAATCAACATTTTTTGGCTCGGACTAGTGGGTTTCTACAGGAGTTTTTTTAGCTATAAAAATGCTCTAATGTTAACAACACTCAAAAACGCAACAAAACGTGGAAAACTGGCGCTTTTGGACTTTTTTTCACCACCAAAAATGGGGGGGGGGGGGGGGGAGGGGTAAAAAAACGCTAAAAAACACAAACGCGTAAAAATGCGGGAAAACGCCACTAAACCCGGCAAAACACAGCTAAACGCTAATGCAAAAATAATAAAAAAGCTGAAAAACTCAAGTTGTTAACGTGACTTTACACAGCTAACGTTACCAGCGTTATCAAACATCCCGAGTGCATGAGGACTTACAACCAATGACTCCTCTCTGCCCTGCTCATTCATGTGTCAGCTGGAGATTCCTAGCTGACAGGTATATAAACAAAGGAATGAGGACAGTGTTTAAAAACAAATTGCTTGGGGGTTACCCCATAATTCGTACCAGACCATGGATCAGTGGGATGAATAGTGCCCTATCATTGGTGTCAGTGGCGGGAATCGTGCCCCATCATTAGTGTCAGTGAGGGGAATAGTGCCCCGTCATTGGTGTCAGTGGGAGGAATCGTGCCCCATCATTGGTATCAGTGGCAGGAATCGTGCCCCATCATTGGTATCAGTGAGGGGAATAGTGCCCCGTCATTGGTGTCAGTGGGAGGAATAGTGCCCCATCATTGGTGTCAGTGGGAGGAATCGTGCCCCATCATTGGTATCAGTGGCGGGAATCGTGCCCCATCATTGGTGTCAGTGGGAGGAATAGTGCCCCATCATTGGTGTCAGTGGGAGGAATAGTGCCCCATCATTGGTGTCAGTGGGAGGAATAGTGCCCCAACATTGGTGTCAGTGGGAGGAATAGTGCCCCATCATTGGTGTCAGTGGGAGGAATAGTGCCCCATCATTGGTGTCAGTGGAATGAATAGTGCCCCATCGTTGGTGTGAGTGGGGGGGGAATAGTGTCCCATCGTTGGTGTCAGTGGGGGAGGAATAGTGCCCCATTGTTGGTGTCAGTGGGGGGAGGAATAGTGCCCCATCATTGGTGTCAGTGGGGGGAGGAATAGTGCCCCATCGTTGGTGTCAGTGGGGGGAGGAATAGTGTCCCATCATTGGTGTCAGTGGGGGGAGGAATAGTGCCCCATCATTGGTGTCAGTGGGGGGAGGAATAGTGCCCCATCATTGGTATCAGTGGGAGGAATAGTGCCCCATCAGTGGTGTCAGTGGGAGGAATAGTGCCCCATCGTTGGTGTCAGTGGGAGGAATAGTGCCCCATCGTTGGTGTCAGTGAGAGGAATAGTGCCCCATCGTTGGTGTCAGTGGGGGGAGGAATAGTGCCCCATCGTTGTTGTCATTGGGGGGAATAGTGCCCCATCATTGGTGTCAGTGGGGGGAATAGTGCCCCATCATTGGTGTCAGTGGGAGGAATAGTGCCCCATCATTGGTGTCAGTGGGGGGGAGGAATAGTGCTCCATCGTTGGTGTCAGTGGGGGGAGGAATAGTGCTCCATCGTTGGTGTCAGTGGGGGGAGGAATAGTGCTCCATCGTTGGTGTCAGTGGGGGGAGGAATAGTGCCTCATCATTGGTATCAGTGGGAGGAATAGTTCCCCATCATTGATGTCAGTGGGAGGAATAGTTCCCCATCATTGATGTCAGTGGGAGGAATAGTGCCCCATCATTGGTGTCAGTGGGAGGAATAGTGCCCCATCATTGGTGTCAGTGGGAGGAATAGTGCCCCATCATTTGGTGTCAGTGGGGGGGAGGAATAGTGCTCCATCGTTGGTGTCAGTGGGGGGAGGAATAGTGCTCCATCGTTGTTGTCATTGGGGGGAATAATGCCCCATCATTAGTATCAGTGACACCAATGATGGGGCACTATTCCTCCCACTGACACCAATGATACTTGCTGACCCCTGTTCCAGCATGGTGCTGCTGCAGCACCCGGGCACACTTACCGGCCGCTCTCTCACTCGATTTTCGTGGGGCCACTCGGCTCCGCCTCCTCGCCGGTGATTGGCTGCCTGTGTGCCTTTCCTGAGCTACAGTTCTGGTGCCCAATCACTGGTGAGGAGGCGAAGCCGAGCGGCCGCGTGCACATCGAGCGGGCCGAACTGAATTAAGGAGCAGCCGTGCTTCCTGAACTGTATTGTCGTGGGACTGGGACCGGAGCCAGGTAAGAAACAGCAGCCCCCTGCCCGCCCCTGTACTTAGTGTCCCTTCCGTTGGAAGGGGGGGGCGGCACCGCACCGCCCCCCTAAAAAGTGCCACCCTGACACCGGCTCGGAAGTGTCAGCACGCCGTCTACCGGCGTATAAGACGACCCCCGATTTTTCAGAGGATTTTCATGGGTAAAAATGTCGTCTTATACGCCGGAAAATACGGTAATCAAAGGGAGGCTATGATTGGTAAGTTCAAATAGGCGGAGAGGTATTTGAAAATGTTCCTATGGAGATTAGTGGCAATAGGATTAGTTTATTTTTAAAAGGTGTCATAACCTGGAGTGGGCGGACCTCCTGGGGGTTTCCCATGGATCTGCTCTCCATCTCCCCATTAAGTACATTTTGTAAACCCAAATCTTTTTTCTTTCATTGTAATTTTATGTTGAATTAGAGTTGTATGGAAGTTGTAGATGGATAGATGGGGTAGCCCACCTTTGACCTGGGGGTGGCCGCTGGGACTGGTAGGAAACTCTTTTGAATGGAGGGGGGTAAGGGTCACTCCTGTCTGGCATTGGGACTACCCTGGGGGTGGGCAGAGAGTGGAGCAATTAAATCATCTAAAACTTGTATTTTTACCCTAAATAGAGCAATTCATAATCTATACACACCTAGATAGAGTAATCCAACATATTAAAAATGGCCATGTCTCTGCATTCTTATTTAGATGTTTTTTGCTTAGATACCTCTAATAAAATAATTGTATACATTATTTAATGGTTGAATATGCATCTCACTCCCTCGATTCTGGGAGGGGAGGGGGGTTTCCCCCATGATTATAGAAAGAATTTATAATAGGGGAATACTAGATATAAGCATTTCCTGGAAGTTTTTTCCCTATAGGTGAAGGAGGGAGGGAAACTTCAATATCAAGTGGATGCCTCTTCTCCTCCTTTCCCCCCTTTTCCTTTTTCTTCCCCTTCTTCTTCTTCTTCTCCTCCCCACACACACTTTTTTTCTGTCTATGGGTACAAATGGATTGTTTTCCATGTATTGTAAAGAATTTTGCTTCGAAAATCGTATAATTGAGTCCACACCATTATCGACATTCTTGTCTCCCCAACAGAGAACACTCTCCTGGTGACCCATGAGGATATCAGGGGATTATGAGATGGATAGATATCCCTCATTTTTTTTCCTATACAGTATATGCAGCAATCAGATTTATCTTTTTTTCTTTTTCCAATATGCCCTTTTTTTTGTTTGTTTGTTTTGTGTTTGTCAGTAGCACATTGCGCAGAGATGTATGCTTCTTCTCGGCATATTGCTTGGTCTAGTTCACTGATATGAATTCATTAGCTCTTGGCTCTCTGAATATTCAGGGATTTATTAGCCCCGAAAAAGGAACCAAATATTACATCACATGCATAAACAGAGGGTGCAGATACTATTTTTACAGGAAGCACACTTTCAAAAAAGTAAAGTTTCAAATCTATCCTTAGGGTATTATTATCAATGGTTTACAAGTAATAACCCACAGAAAAAATTCAAAGGAGTTGCAATTGGTTTTCACTCTAGCCTCCCCATCCAAACAGAGCATACAAATACACAGGGGAGATATTTGAGGTTCTTTTGTAGTCTATATAATATGGTTTTTACTCTGGTTAATATGTATGCATCCAATAAGAATCAGAAACAGGTATTTTTTTAAAGAACAATTTAAGTAAAGTTTGTTTTTCAAAGAGAAGCAAGGGATAATGCCATTAAAGCCCTTACCCTTATTGACTAAAAAATTGCAAAAAAGTAAAATACCTCTTTCTATATTTTAGCAGTAGATGCTGAAAAAGTGCTTGATCATTTAGAGTTATCGTTTATGTCAGCAACATTGACTCAGATAGGGATACCCAAAAATCTGTTAACAAAGATACCAGCATTATATCGGACCCCGACAGCAAGGGTAAGGGTGAATGGTAGTTTGTCAGATCCTATAGATATAAAAAATGGTACTAGACAAGGGATGTCCCCTATCACCGATGTTGTATATTCTAGCTATGGAACATCTTGCTATAGAAATGAGAAATTATTTGGTAGAGGGGATACAAGTAGGGAAAATAGAATGTAAAATTGGCTTGTTGGTTTCCAACATTGATATAAGAATTCAAAGAGTTTGTCAGAGTAAGTAATTTCCACCCCCTGCCATCACATGCTAATCTTTGCAGTGCAATACGTCCATTAACATATTGCGTATTCCATTGCACATCGGGGGGTATTAACGTCTTGCGTATTCCATTGCGTATTATATATAATGTAAATGTCTGTCAAAGCATCATAGTGCTGAAAAATGACCTGGAAAGGAAGGGGATTTAGCATTCCAGAGAACTCATGAAAATACTTGGAATTGGCACCAATACTAGTATCGATATCTGTGCATCCCTAATATATATGTGTGTATATATATATATATATATATATATATATATATATATATATATATATATATATAAATATATATATAGATATGAGTAATTATCAGTCAAAGCATCATGGTGCTTAAAAATGACCTGAAATGGAAGGGGATTTAACATGCCGGTCATCAAGTGGTTTAGGAAAGTTCTCTAATGGGTTATATGCTGCAATGACAAGAAGGGAATTCTATTCACCTATAGAGAGGTCGCCTTATTTCCTGTTGTGTTTTAACCCCCAAAAAGTTACTTTGCATAGACTTTACATTTTTGATACATGACAGATTATAAGTTTTGGAAATTGCAACTCATTCTATATAAAAGTACCCTTTTTGTGATGTCTTTTCTTTATTACTGGCAATTTTTGTTTCTGATTGTGCATTATTCTATTCTTTAAAGCCGAGAGTACAGAGAACTCCAAGAAACGCAATCACTGCCGAGATGACATCCGGATGTGTTTCAACACCCGCAAATGTTTTATTTCCAACCCTCCATCTGGAGATACACAGGTTCTTCAGACGATGGATGAGGTTTCGGAGGAAATGCTCACCTCTAGCTTCATGGCTCAGTGTCAGAAATTCTGTGATTATATTTACAAAAATGGTGAAGTTAAACTCTTGGATGACGTCAAATCCGTGTCTGGAGAAAGTGAGTTTATCTCCTATAACAGAGTAGAGACAGAACAAATGTTGAGGGAGAAGAAGAAGAGGAAAAGGGAGGCACAAATAGGAAAAAGGAAATGGAGAAGGGAAGAAAGGGAAAATGATATAGAGAAGATGCAAAGGAAGAGAGAGACATGAATAGAGGTAGAGGGAGAAAAGAAATAGAGAGAGCCAGAGAGAATGAAAAAAGGGTAGGGGATAACTGAGAGAAAATAATGGATGAGAAGGAAAAGAAAGGAAGCAGAGAGTGGGAGTTTGAGAGTGAGGGAGGAGAAGGAGGGAGAAGAGAGAGTAGAAGGGGATAGGAGAAGATGGGGAGAAAGGAGTTTTATGGAAGAAAAAGAGAGAGAAAATAAATGAAAATCAGCAAACAGGGAAAGTGAGAGAAGTAAAAGGAAGAAGAAATAAGGATGTAAACAGACGCAGAGGAGAAAAGAGGAAGAGGAAAAAAAAGGAGGGTAGATGGAGAAGGAGGGCCAGCAGGAGGGATGAGGATGGGTTGAGTGAGAGGAGTGATGGAAACAGATGGAGGCAAAGAGAGGAATGGAGGGAATTCATGGAAGGGAAGGAGAGATAAAGGGGAATGGAGGAGATTCATGGAAGGGAGGGAAAGATAAAGGGGAATGGAGGAGATTCATGGAAGGGAGGGAGAGATGGAAGGCAATGGAGGAAAGAGGGAGAGATGGAGGAAAATGGAGGGAGAGATGGAGGGGAATGGAGGGGAATAAGGGGAGAAATGAAGAAGAATGGAGGAAGAGAATGAAGACAGAGCCAGGACAGAGTAAGTAAAAATTAACTAGCCCCCCCCAAAAAAAAGCTTTAGACTGTGGATGGGGGGTTTCAATGGTGCAAAGTGTTTTTTTGGAATGTATTTTACTTAATAAATGTTCTTAAAAATTAAAAATATACCAGTATATAATTCAACTGCTTGCCCGCCACGCTATAGTAGAACTACTGCTACAGGCCTGTGCAAAATCATGTATATAAAAAATATATATATATATTCTGTATTTCCAGGTAGGGGGTGTGGGTAGGGCAGTGCCATTGAATGTCAATCACTGGGTTCCGGCTGGAGATTCCCTGCTGGAACCCGGCACTCACAGAGTAGAACTGACAGATACCTGCGCACAGCAGAGAAATACACAGCAGCATGTTTCCCTAATAAAACACACACAGCACATAATGTAAAACAGCACACAGTTAACCCTTTGATCGCCCCAGATATTAACCCCTTCCTGCCCAGTTCCATTAGTACTTTGTCAGTGCTTTTTATTAGCACTGATCACCGTATCAATGTCATTGGGAATGTCAGTGGCACCAAGTCAGTTCCCTCCAGTGTCAGAATGCCTGCCGCAGTCCCACTATAAGTCGCTGATCGCCACCATTACTAGTATAAAAACAAATATATAAAAATTTCAGTATATATACCGCCATTTGTAAATGCTATAACTTTCACGTAAACCAATTAATTTACACGTATTGGGATTTTTTTTTAGCGAAGACATGGAACAGAATACATTTTGGCCTAAATTTATGAAGAAATTAGATTTTTTTTATAATTTTTACTGGACATGTTTTATAGCAAAAAGTCAAAAGTACTGTTTTATTTTTTAAAATGTTCAGTCTTTTTTTGTGTATAGCGCAAAAAATAAAAAATGCACAGGTGATCAAATACCACCACCCATTTGTGGGACAG